GTACTAGTAGTCGTAGTAGTAGTGGTAGTGGTAGTGGTAGTCGTAGTAGCAGCAGCAGCAGCAGCAGCAGCAGGAGTAGTAGTAGTAGTAGCAGCAGCAGTAGTGGCAGTGAGTAACAGTCGCAGTAGCAGTAGTAGTATTAAGAGGAGGAGGAGTGGCAGTCGTGGTGGTGGTTCCAGCGTGGGGTGGTAGTAGTGGTAGCAGCAGAAGCAGCAGCAGCACTGGCTACACCCAACATGCCACCAAGTCTTTCTACATACATACCTGGATCAATACTTGCATACATACATACATGCAAAGATACAGTCATGGATACAGACATACATGCACTTACGTACAAACCTACCTAGAGACAGACACACAGACGCACATACAAGGGGATCCTCCTTGTGCTTCGTCAGCTCCATACGTATAAATAGGCACCATTCGTCAAGGACCGGCTCCAAAGCGGGAGAGATGCAGCAATTCTTCGAGAATGAGTTCCTGGGGAAAAAAGCTGACAGCATTAGGAAGCTCATGAAGCTCGTGTGCGACGTGACTGGCGAAGATGTGGAGAAACTGACGCAGCAGAGCATGGCGATCCGCAATCCTGAAAGCGCGAGCCTTGGATGCGCTTGGAAGCACTCCTGACACCCAGCCGCCCTAGCTCGTCGTGTTTGTGTGTTTTTGTTGGCCGCCTCGAAGATGGTCCGGACCGGAGGTCCAAACGGACGGTGCTTTCGTCACGAGGGGTGATTTACAACCCAGCCACTGATAAGTTCTATCGAAGCAGATGGAAACCCAGTCTCGAGCCCCATTCCCTGCGGCGGCGAGCTTACAGGAAGAGCGCCAAAGCAAAAGCGCCCAAGGCCAAAGCCAAGGCCGGCAGAACATGTCCCATCTTGGATAGGGTCTTCGTTTCCTCTTGCCCAGCCCCCCCCTCCCATGGGCCTTAACAGAAAGCAAAATACTAGCACTAGAAGGTACTCGTACCAGTACCGGAACTAGTAGTAATAGTAATGAATTGCAGCAGCAAGCGCAATAGTAATAGCAATAGCACTACTGGTCGCAAAAGCAGTAGTAATACTGTAGGAATCGGAATGGTGAGAAATTGTGACAGTTGCAAGTTGCGCACTCTCCCATTCAGGGAGGCTTGCGGTTACTGCCAAGTACTGAGAGATGGAGTGCTGCTGTGAAGCGAGCCTCGTGCCCACATCCATTCGCCAGTCAAACATAGTTACGATACATTTACCGGACACTTGGGCTTGTTGCAATCGAGCTTGCTGTGTTGCCACGTCGCGTGGGCTGTCTTACCACGCCCAGGAACCCTGAGCTTTGAGATGCTTTGAGTGTGAGTGTGTGTGTGTGTGTGCGTGCGTGCACCTCGAGTCGAGGTCTGAGATAGGTCGAATGCCTCCGCCTCGCGAATTCGGACATGTAGGTGGCCTCCTGACAGGAGACAGTCAGATCAAACGTCTGTCTCTCTCTGATGCAGTCTGGCAGGTACATGTACTTGAGATCCGTTGTCGTAAAGACCTCGTGCTTCGCTTGTAGTCGAAGGACACAATAGGTGCAGAACATGTCAAACTTGATGAGGTCGCAAGGATGGAATAGTTCGGAGTCCGAGTAACCTTTGTTTCATACTATGTACGGCAGAAAGTTGGTGCCACGGTGATGCCCAATCAATGGTCGACTCGCAGTATGTGCTATGGAAGCACTTCAGCCCGAGACGGTGGACCGGGGTCACATCCGCCCTTGCCGCCGACGAGAAATGGATGGGAGTATTGGGTCACAGACAAAGGAGCAAGGACCAGCGCTTCGCTAGGCCTCAGCCGCAGAGCGTTGGATCGCATGTGCAGGCGGAGGCTGCGCCAAAAGCCGCTGCCAAGGTGAAGGCTTGGGCCTCAGTCTGGGTCTTCGGGATTCTTCGTCCCAAGGCACTGGAGGTAGCGCTGGCCGACATTGGCTCAGTCTTGAAGTTCCTCCATGCTCAGGGAGGCCCTGCAAGAAACGAGCCAATGCCGAACAAGTATTGCCGCATGAGTGCCAGTTGTCTGCGAAGTTTCGCGGGTAGGTTGATAGAATACAAGTCTGCATTGCGCGCTCAAGGGGCTCTGATCTGCCATCCATGCCAGACTTCAGTGCCTGAGCCTGTCTTCTGTTTTCTTCATCATGGCCGAGGTCAAAGAAGAGCCTGCAAAGCAACCCAGAGAGTCCAAGCCGTCGAAGCGCCTTAGAGCTGAATTAGAGGTTGCCACAGAAGTGCGTCGACTGCGCGCACCACCCATATGCATGTTCTGAACATCTTACATACTGTACATACATACAGAAAGCTTGTGCAAGAAGTAGAGGTTTGGTAGGTGTACGCAGGGTTCATGAGGAAATTGGCGCATGGACCTTTCGCAAGTCAAGCCCTCGCGATACTGTTTGCGGTCAAGTCAATGTGCACCTGCGACATCTCCCACAGTGGTTAGAAGTCCAAGCCAACGTGCCGACAGTATGTGGTTGAAACACACACAGTTGAGGAACAGCAGGCTTTTCGCGACGGGCACCCCCCAACTGCCAAGGAAGCGACCGAAAGCCACCAATGGCAAGCTGGATCCAGACACATACCTGCCGGCCGGATGGGAGCAAGTGGAGCACCACGGTCCAAGACTTTTGATCTTGTGCCTTCCAGGATTTCGGAGTACTGGTTTGAACGGCTTGATGGCAGAATCGCAGTGCACGAGATTCGATGACAAAAAGAATAAAAATCATGATGGATCGATCCGGCAGCTGCAGCATTGTATGCATGCTCCAAGCTCGTTCTTGGCACCGACTGCATGGTTCCGATCCGACAGTCATGAGTTGATCTGCAAATGATTTGCCATTTCGCCTCTGAGATAGCTGGAATATGTTGAATGCTTTGCGTTGGTCTCCTGAGTACCTACAGGCTGCGAGAGGAGCTCGGTGACAGTAGCACGAGATACTGTCTTGTGGAGGTAGGTGTGGTCAGACCTTGCTTGACGAAGCTGAGGAAGGCATACAAAACCGGCGGCAGCGTCGGCAAGTGTTTCAGACCAACTTGCTAGGGTGTGTGAGTGCTTCTTGTGTTGACGGGCAGGGCCAGGACAGCTTCGCCTGCAGGGTCGAGACCTGCGTGCCTCTGTGTACCAAGGACATATATCCGCTTCCAGAAAGTCAGCGGTGGCGGTTCAATCTGCTGCACAATCAACCAGGTTCTGCAAAAGCCTCCCGACGAAAGAGACACCTCCTGCAAGCTATTGCAAGACCTGAGTCTTACTGCGGGGCTTGTGTTGAGTTGCCATCTCATTGTATCACTGCGCTCATTGTACGAGGCATCGCGGGCAGAAGCAGCTCAAAGTAACATACTTTATTATCGCGCCATCAAGAACAGCAACAGATATGTCTTTGCTAGGACATGCAAGTCATGGCTGCCGTTTAAGAGACCGCATGTTTCAGCCGAAGACTCATGAGTTGCTTCTATGAATGATGGGGAGCATGTCCTGAGCATCTCCGAGTAGAGGCATCTGGAAGACACCGGCGAAGATCTTACGGCGCAGTACCAAGAAATGAAAGACAAGAACGAGCGAGAGAAGGCGCGGAGTTGCATCAACAACTGTCGTCGTCTTGGCTTCTGACGGTCTGACGAATTCCGTTACACAGCTCGCTTCAGTGCAGGCCCAACGCCGAAAAGAAGAATCGGAAAAGAACAAAGAGATGCCACCCGGAACGAAGTGTGTGGGCCTTCTGTAGTTGTTCAAGATGGCCCTTCTAGGACCACCTCTGCACAATGATTGGCTTTCGCCGCGAGCCGTCAGCATACCACTCGCTTTGCGAAGGAAGAAGCAAAAACGTGAAGAGAACCTCGGCAGGGAAATACTTTCAGGCTGCTCATTCAAGCCAGCAGCAAGGGCTCCTGTCGTGCAGTCTCGGGTCTAGGGACAGGAGTCCAAGTGGCCGGACAGGAATTCAACCTGTGCGCCGCCTAATCAATGACGCAAGGAGGCAATCAGCGCCAGACGAACTTTACTTAGGGTTGCATCACTGTGTTCGCTTATCCTTGATGCCTGAAGCGGCATCGCCAACAGAGCAAGTTCTGCATTTGTCGGTTGGCACTCATAGACGAAGTGGCTTGCGGCGGATCAGGTGTGCCAGCGTAGATAGTGTGTTTCCAGGGATGCATGCAGCACAAACTAGAGCACCGGCCCAGCTATGTTGGTTGAATTAAGTTAGCTTCTTCCCTCAATTGCGAAGCCAGATCGCGAATGTGATCTGACGAGAACACGAACTTGAGTATGTAACTCTGAGGATAGATCTTCCAAGCTAAAGCCCATGGCCATGCGCTGCATCAAACGCATGGGGTATCTCAGGTACATCGAAAATTTTCGTGCTGCGTACGGTGCCCTTACTGGATCAGTCGTCATGGCTTTGCCGGGTCGCTCGTCTGGCTGTGGCGGATGCTAGAGCTTCTTCCTCGGAAACCTTCGGTTCAACTCGCTACAACACCACCACAGCATTTCTGTGTTCTTTAGAGTGATGCAATGGATGTGTCCAGGGTAGAGATTAGAAATTCTTGTGAGTCTTATCTTTTGCTTGCAGGAGTAGAATGCTTCATGTAACAATTGCATGGAAAGGGGTTCAGTGCCTCGATTTTCCATCCTTGGGATGCAAAGAAAGCCCTAGCATGAGATAAACAGCGAAGCAAGGAAACCTGTAGACCTCAGTCGGGCCAAACCGATAAATTGCCATCGGCAGGCCCATCCCAGTGAAACTAGCATAGACCTTTGAATCTGAAGCATGCGTGATAAAAGCCGTGGTGCAAGATCGGTGACGGTTGAAAGTCGAGGCTGGAGCGGTGAGGCGAAGCATCTTGAGGGCTGCGGACAACTCTGCTCTGCCTACTACGAAGCTTGGACACTAATTGTTGTTCATTGGCTACGTGGTCGTTTCTCGATTAAAGCAGCCAGATTGTGGTGACATTCACCGGCCTACTCCAAGTGTTTATCCCAGCTTGGAAGTCGTGCCTTACAGAGTGAGCCTGAAGCAGAGGGAGAACATTTCCTGGCCCTCTGCATCCACAGCTGCAGCTTAGGACCCAGACGGCAAAACCTGGAAGCTTCTCAAAGACATCGAGGTCTGTTTAACAAGTTCAAGGGACATCGGAAAATTTATTGGCGCTTCTTTGTGGTGAAGCTTTGGTCAGGGTCTTCACGGCAGGGCTCGGAAAGTCCCATCGAGGTAAGGCCCGCCAAGTTGCAAGCGCCGGAATTTCTCCAAGAGGGAAAGCACTCAGTCTTTCACAGCGCGACCCTGACCGACTACAGGCACACTTCGGAATGCTGATGGAACAGGGCAAGCAGGCCGGAAGCTGCAGAAAGCATGAATTCTGGCGCAGGTCCTTGACGAAGCCGTCATGTGTGTCATGCAGCATGTGAAATCATGAATTCAGCCTTCTCGCCTGTGCTGTAGCAGAGAGCATGTTTGCAGCCTTTGCCTCGGCTGCAGGATACATTTCCAGACTTCGATGCGGCTCGCAATTCCCAGGCCACCGACGAGAATCCCAGCTTCGAAGAGTCTTCCATTGGTCTTCGGAAGTTGGGGAGCTTAAAAGTTGCACAAGCAAGTTTTGGCTCTCAATAGGAGCTGCCGCCTCGTGCGTGCAGATGTCGCCGTGCGACCCAGGAATGGCAGAGTCATCAACGCCGCCAGGCGAGGCAGATAGCAAGGGCTTTAGAACTAATTTGGGATGTGTGTGTGTGTGTGTGTGTTTTTGCTTTGCGGTGCTGCTTCGACACTTGAAGAGACAAAGGACTTGCCGGAAATGTGGCAATACTAGTAGTACTTAGTACTAGCACTAGTAGTAGTAGTAGTAGTAGTAGTAGTAGTAGTCGTAGTGGCAGTGGTGGTGGTCGTGGTCGTGGTCTTGGTCGTCGTCGTCGTCGTCGTCGTCGTAGTCGTAGTCGTAGTCGTCGTAGTAATAGTAGTAGTAGTAGTAGTAGTAGTAGTAGTAGTAGTAAGAGTAGTAGTAGCAGTAGGAGTAGTAGTAGTAGTCGTAGTAGCAGTAGGAGTAGTAGTAGTAGTAGTAGTAGTAGTAGTAGTAGTAGCAGTAGTTGTTGTAGTGGTCGTGCTCGTGGTCGTAGTCGTCGTCGTAGTAGTCGTCGTCGTCGTACAAAATCCCTAAGACAAAAAAGTATCATTCAACAAAATATGTATACTCTGCGTCCGCTTTGGAGTCAATATCCTGTCGTGAGGAAGACTAAGACTAAGAGCTTGTGTTTGGCACGAGCGGTGGGCTTGCAGATGGCCATTGGTTTCCAACCTCAAGGGACGAGCAATCTGCGGCTAGCACCACAACGGATTCTCAGCCAAAATAAGCCAGATTCGAGCAGAAACTGCATCTTTGCCCAGCCTCTGCTACTGCATCCACATCGAGGATGTCGCTCCCCTTCCTGCTTCGCGGACATCCATCGCTCGCCGGCACTTGACCGTGTCAACCCACTACATCTCCGGAACACCTTAAAATCCCCAGCACGTCCACGTCGTAGAAACCTCGGACACTTATTGCCATGCCTGCGTTTTGCGAGTGTCTGAGCCGAAAATCAGCAAAGGACTTGTGAAGTTTGAGAGAGCGCTTTGATGCAAGTACTGTTCTGCTGGTCTCGCATAGAGGCGGCAGAATCAAGTAGAAGAGTGGACGCGGGAGCAAAAGCAGCCTGAAAAGGAGTGCCGGGTCTGCATTGGAAACGAGTTTCAGGGTCATGGAAGGCTTCAGGCTTCCACTTGGCTCGGGGGCAAGAATTCCTGCTTGCATTCGGGAGCAAGACCTTCCTGAGTGATGGAGAGAAGTGAGAAACTTCAGGACGTTTCTCAGCCATAAGCCATAAGCTCTGAGGAAGCCCAGGAAGCGAAAGAAGCAGGCTGGGGGCAAAGTCAGCATTCTTGATCGCCGCGGTTCTCATGGAAGGCCTTACTTCTGAAAGCTTGGAAGGTGTGTTAGGTAGTGTGCAGGCTTCGGGTTGGGAGGGCCTTTGTGTTGGATCTTGTGCTGTTGCTCAGCGCCTTACGGGCAGGCATGCTGACAGGGACAGCTGTGCCTATTCCCACTCCATGAAGTGGCGCAAGCTTTTAGATCCAATTGTGTAAAATCTGCGCTCAAGCCTCGACTTATCGAACATGCTGTAACACTGAGAGCTTTCTGCATGTATTTCTCTAGCCTTCTACCGATATATGTATCTGTGTATCTATGTGTCTTTCTATCTCTCTTTCTCTATCTATCTATCTATCTATCTATCTATCTATCTATCTGTCTCTATCTATCTAGCTCTGTCTCTCTGTCTCTCCATCTGTTTACCTATCCCTTTCTCCATCTATCCATCTCTCTCTCTCTCTCTCTATCTATCTATCTATCTATCTATCTATCCTGCTATCTATCTATCCATCTCTCCGGCTCTCTCTCTCTCTCTCTTTCTGTCGCTCTCTCTCTCTCTCTATCTATTCATCTCGAGTCTCTGTCTCTCTCTATCTCTCGATCTATCTACTTAGCTCTTTCTCCATCTTTCTATCTCTCTCTCTCTCGCTCTCTATCGATCTACCTATCTAGTTGCAGAGTCTATGTCTCTCTGTGTATAGAAATATATATATATATATGATGTCTGTATCACACATATATGACAAAGGTGTTGTTACAGGGGAATTCCTCAATTGGTGCTCGCCCTCAGTTGAAGATGGTGGACTATGCCCACTATAGAGAGACCAGCCATCTCAAGCTCTTCGACGTTTCCAAGATGACCGAGAAAGCGACTCTCGGTGTGAAGTTGCATCGGCCCTCTGAAAGTATTTTCCACATCAGCCATGCTTGGGGTGCCCGCACAGAGCTACATGCTGCTCTGAGTCTCTACATATCAGCGTCTTGATCTGGCCAACTTCAAACGTCGGTTGTACCAATATCTAAATCAAAGATTGCGGCATCTCAGTCTTCTGGCCAACTTCGAACTGCAAATCAGAAGTTAGCGCCTCCAGGATGGAGCAAGAAAGGCTGCCGGACGGGCCAACTCTCCAGAAAGAGGCCGGATGTGTTGTTGCTGAACACTGACACGCTTCCGGGTTTTGGAAAAGGAAGAGATTCAACCATGCTGGGCATATCTGGGCATGGGCTTGATTGGGGCCGCGAATCTCCGAGTGCCGAACGGAAGCAAGCGTGCTGCTGTAGTGGTTTACGGTTATGTGAAGCGGCGACCGGTTGTCACAGAGGTGTTCGTTCGCGCTTACAGTGGCATCGGAGGAGTCGTTCTTGTCATCGGTAATGATACTGATGAGGTTGATGATGATGAATGATGCTTGTTGCTATAACAGTAACCACATGACCTGCCGAGAGTTGGCTTGCAACACAGTCAGCAGTTCAGCATTTGAGTGAAGAGGGTGTTGTCTTGTGCCGAAGAGAAATTTGCACGTAGATTGTTCTATTTATTCAATATTCATGACGTAGTATATGAAGGTTCCTAAATCCACGAACCTCCTGGCAAACATGACCACCTTCCTGGAGGCTCAAAAGCTCCTGAAGCTGCTGATCCAACGGATGCATGGCCGCAACTGTCTCTCTCAAAGGCACTGTCAGTTCAGTGTCATTTTGATGGGATGGCCACAAACGCTGCTGGTGCGGTGCACTCGTAAAAATCCGACAGGTTTCGTTGTCAACACTGTTGGCTATCTAGGGTTATTAAAAGCGGTTTTGACGTGGTGTGAACTAGTGCGCTTCGGGCGACTCATAAGGGCAAGCGGAGATGCCACCAAGGGGATTTCCCGAGACCACGCAGATCCTCTATATGCGGGGCACCTTCAAGAAGGCCGATCAAGAATGATATGTTTGAGGGAATACATCGTATTTGCAGGGTTGTTGTTCCGCCCGCTTGATCGAAGGAGTATTACTCTCCAAACAGAACGGCAGAGAATGGCGGAGAGATGGTCACGATGTTACACATGTCGTAGAAGGACCTGGTTGGTCCTAGCTGCTAGTCGTTGCTGCCCAAAGTCCTCAGGTGAATTCGCCTTGGCACTATCGGTTCTCTAGGCTTCAGCAAGCAATAAGTCAACAAGCGCCAGTTGTTTCACCATCCCGTGTGAGATGTCACACCATCAATGGCAGCTTCTTCTGGCCTGCGGCAACACATTCTGTCCGTTCTCCTCATTAGTTGATGCTTCTGCAAAGTTGAGGAGAAACAGGTTTCAGAGTTACCTTGAGAAGCCACGCACAGGCCTGTCTAAGAACTATGGCTAAGGCTCAACACACTTGCCGAGGCTGCTGGATCGAAGCTGATTAATGCTATGGCGGGATGGCGTCGTGGCTGCCAGAATCGAGCTGCAGCTATGTACCTTGAGTGAAAGGTCGTAGGCTCGGAGAGAAGCCAACAAACCCAGGTATTTCAGGAAGCCCTTTGAGGTGGCCGATCGGTCCTGCAACTTGGCAGGGCGCTTCCTTACAGTCACCGTGCGGTGAAATTTGTTTACAGCTTCAAGCCTGAAAGTCACAGTTGCCATACCCCTTTTCGTTTTCGCCTCTGCAGCTCCTGCCGCTGCTTCTGCTGTTGCTTGTTTGCTGTCGCATGGTCGAGACATGGGTCACGGCCGTTGTCCTGGTCGCGACTGTTTTGTTTGTTTGTTCTATGGTAGGCTTTGCTGCCTTCGTGCTAGTTACCTGTTGTAGCTCCATTTTACTGAAGACTGCTCAGAGAGCTTCGATTCCCAAAGGCCAGTGCATCTCCAATGAATTCCGTACACAGTTTCAATATTTTAACGACTACCTGCCGTTCCCGAGCCCACTCCCTTAAAGGCTGGAGCTCCCCCCTTCTGCACCAGTCCGGTTGGTCTTGAGAAGCTTCTCCAAGGTTACCAGCACGTCAGACTTATTGGGGGAAGGCCCGTGTGCAGCGCTCCTTGGGCTTACTCCTAGAGAGGGCACACCGTGCCGGCTAGGAAGCTCAGGCATATGTTACAGCGGAATTAGACAAGGAGATACAGAAGCTAACTTCCTTGGAGGCCAGATGCAAAAGCAAGGCACTGAACTAACAAAGCCCTGCTCCATGCTAGTCGTTAGTGGACCGAAGCATGAAATCGGATTTTGCCGATAGAGACGACCTCGGACTTGGAACCTTTCTATACATCGGGCAGCTGCGCAAGAATCCAAATTATTTTGACTGTCAGTTTAGCGGTCCTGGCGGCGACTTCGACTTTGATGTACCAGATGTGCAGGTTTCAAGCTCAAGCCGCGTTCGGCGCATTGTAATCAAGTCAGCACTCTCAGCAGCTCGCCCCCCCCGAGAAGGAAACGCAAGGAACGAATCGAACGACCACCGATACTGCAGCAATTTAAAGCGATTGGCAGCCTTGCCCAAGAAACCCTGGCACAAGCTCGCGAATCTCAGGATGCTCATGTGTTCTGGAGTGGTCACTACGGCCTCTGGAAGTTGGGAGCCTTGACAGACGACAAGGCCGGACTGGGCCTCCCCTCCTCTGGAATACATAGTCCCAGGCTTCCCGCCATCTGCCTATCCAGCCCATGGAGCCAGCACGATCCTCTACGAAAATAAAAGCTTTGTCAGAGAGGCCAGGTGACCTTCCTACACGAGGCACACGAAAGTGCAGACCGGGGCATGCACACACATGAAGCACGAACGTGCTTGTTTGCGCAACCATACACACTTTGAGCCATTCGTAAGTACCCATGAATCTGAATTTGGAATTCGTTCATTGTCATGCTCGATCATATTTCGTTCATGCTTGTACAGGAGGAACAGGGAGGAATATATGTTGTACATGGCCTGTATGTCGAAAATATTTTGCGCATCTCTACGGTAAAAGCCAGGCACGTACACACATAGTGGTAGACGTTTCTGACCCTACATATCGATAATATCTCCGTGGATTTGTTCACTTATCGAGCGTGTCTAGGTGCATGCATGATCATGCTTGCACCTACACACATAATGCACATGCACTTGCTGCGAACTGTTTGAAGTCCGAACGTTTCTGTTTGCTTGCCTGCCTGCGTGCCTGCCTGCCTGTTTGTCTATCGTTGTTTCTTGGCTCGTTTGTTTGTTTGTGCGCTTATGTGTTTCTTTCTTTGTTAAGGTGTAATTACCTTTGTTTGAATATGTTTTCGTTTGTTTTTATTTGTTTGTGTGCTTGCTTGTTTGTTCGTTTGTGTGTGCATGTGTTTGTGTTTGTTTGTGTTTGTCTCTTTGTTTGCACGCATCGGGTCCTTGCATCGCCTTCGATTGCCGCAGGCCGGGCTGGCTATCTGTCAAGGAAAACACAAAGACGCGCCTCGTCGGATCTTCTGAGAACCTGGGATGAGGGTGTGGGCAAGTAGACAGGGTTGCCTTGGGCTGCGTGGAGGATGCTAGCTGCTAGCCAACTGGGGGAGCTCCGGCACTGTCACTGGTTGTGTGCTGCAACCGTGCTGCAAGCACCAAGTGTTGCAACAACACATCTCACGGAGACTGCGCAACATGACGCCAGCCGTTAACCCTGTCTCGAACCAATCAGCCGATGTGAGACATGAACGCGTTCCTGAGAGGTGCAGCAGCTGACGGAGCACTGGAAGCTTTACGAGCCTCCTCAAGTTGAAACGACATGATCGCCCAATGCGTCCAGACAACCAGGTTGAGACACTCTGTGAATACCACGTCCTCTCATTGTTTCCTAGATGCGAACCGCATATTATGTTGCCTGGACCCGCAGTCGCTGGCACGCGCGGTGCCGGTAGATCACTGTTCAGCTTTCTGCCGTGCTGAGCTTTCTGTGGCTGTACATGTGTCAACGAGGGCCCGATTGCAGACCAGTTTGTGGACAGTTTTCGGGAAGCATCAGCAAACCTATCAGGTCTGCTTGCGTCATGTTGGCCATCTCGAGCGGGATACAGAAAGCTTGGCTTGGCTGAAGATGTTGTGTCACCTCGACTCCTGCAAATTATGCAGACGACAGCGTGGGGCGCTCGACTACAAGAAAACAGGATGCACTTTTTGCAAGAGTTTTGAGTTTGCACGTTCCGCGGCGTTTTTGGTTATGGGGTTAGACACCGAGCCACTTTTCTTCATTGTCCAAGGTCCACAGCCTCAAGAAATGCATTGCAAGCCTTGTTCATTACAGAACTCGTTGGTTCTTCAGTCTTACGTCCGTGTAGAACCCAAACATTTTGCACTTGGGCTTGCCAACCTCTCAGTCGAAAACAAACTATGTGAGAGGGAAAATTCAAACTAACCACGCCACGCAGCAGCTGCCAAGCCGCCCAGCTACCGTGTTTCGTGGTTGCAGTCCACTGGGTCTCAGCCAAGCTGCAGGACAGAACATGATTCGGGTTAAAGCCTGGCAGATTGTGCCATCTTAGCTGTTGCTGGCAATTGGAATCGTAGGCATATCATGAGAAAAGGCTTCCTGCCCACAGGCACGCACAAGGCTCGCGCTTTCGGAAGTCGTCAATGACCTGGACTTTATGGTGGGAGGACCCAGATTCGGCTGCGCATCCGTGTCAACGGATTTCGTTGTCAACCAAGCGTATTGACACCAATTGGCTTCCTCGCTATATGTTGAGACTGAAGCTTGATCAGCGTGCACATGAAATCCTGAGTACTTGCGTCCCGAGCTGTCGGTGCCAGAGGTGCCTGCGACATGCCCAGGACAAGGCAAAGATTATGCTGCTGTGTCCGAGCATGAGTGGATTTTATTTCCAGCTACTTCTCAGGGTTTACAGACACTTGCGGTAGACTGCTTGGATTGCATGGGCCTGGTTGCCACAAGTCAGGTAGGTTTCCAGTTGTAACATGTCCGGAACCGCACAATGTTTGGAATATTTCAACATCTTGCAAGCTTGTCTTTTCACTATCTGGGGTGCATCCGGGACATATGCTAGAGTTTGGCCTGCACCTTCTGCATTAGTTGGTTGGCACATCACACCGGCTCCTTGGATGTGTGGTCTTCATGCTAGCATGCCAGTTTGCTTTTAGCAGCAGGCAGCAATGTGACCGTATGCTTGGCTGAAAAACATTCGCTTTCAATGCCTGTTCCCACCATGCTCCAACAGTTTATATAGAGTGTGGCCCACTCATAGCCCTCTAAGTCACGGATTCGGCTGGGAGTTGTTTCAGCGAGTCTTTCAAGACACTTGCCCGACATGAAGCTTCACGGAAAAATCTTGTGGTCACCGCATTGTCCTCCAGATGTTCAGTGAATTCTAAAGTGGGGTCTACAGTCACTGCGTGGAGGGCTGCTCAGGGGCCTTCGCCAAAATGGGTGCGAATTTCTGTACGTGGGCCTAGGCTACCAGAGTAAGCTGCATGCCTCATAATTAAAGCGTTCCCCGGATTGCTTCGTGAGTACATACATGCAGTTTTTCAGTATTTGAGTTCACGAAGTTTTGATGCCGTCTGTTGGGACACATGGGGCCTAAGCCTTGCACCAGGCACGGAGGGTGCTGAGCTCAGCTTCTCTTCTTGCGTAACTCTTGTGTGGCGGCTTTGTGATGCTTTGTGCTCAGGATGATACAGGCACAGGAATGGCACACCTAGGTTCTTTCTAAGGTTGCCAGAGGGGCTCTGCACATGTTTCCATAGACCGACTTACGTCTACGTGATGTGCCGTACTCGAAATACTACCTGACGGCAGAGACAAGGGGGCGACAATTCTTTCCTTGACCGGGATCACCCAAGTCCATCCCAAGTCGCCAGGACATGCATGAAGATCATGAGCTCCCAGGGTACAAATACCATGCCTTCATGATGCTCCGATTCTGTCCTTCGGGGCCACTGTCTCGACTCTGCTCCTCTTGACTCACCCACGCTACATAGTCCAACCGCAGTTGCTGAGGTCCTGCTGTGCGCTTGAGAAAGGAGGCGGCCCTTCATGCCTCCCCCTCAGCGCCTCGAAACCCGAAAGTTTGCGAAGGTTGACGCGCCGCTTTTGGGTCCAGGCGCGTAATTAAGACGACTGGGCGCCTATACTTGCATAGTTGCTACCTAGATCATCCCAGATCCAACTTCTTCAAGCATTGACTTGTTGGCACAAGAAGACAACCCCACGCCCGAAGCACAATCCCACGCCCACATGCCTTCATGCCTGAGCAGCAGCAAGAATGACACAGACACGTGTGATTGGGATTGCGTATATATGTTGTGTCTGTATATGCACACACAACAACACACACATGTATATGCAACATATGTACATATCCTGGTTCGTTTACTGTGTATGCTTTGAAATCGCGCAGATCAGAAATAACCCTGATGGCAATAAGGTCGGCAAGGGCCCGCTGGGCGAATGTGTGCCTTGCCAAGCAAGTGCTTGTATTAAGTCAGCGCGAGAGGGTTTCAGCTCTGCATGTTGTTCTTTTGCTCGTAGAGCTCAGCCTAGGACAAGGGCGAGCTGCGTCGTCATGCAAGACGTTCAAGCAGAACTTAAGTGGCAGACCAGGAATGGTGAACTCGATGACCTCTGTTAGAAGTCTTGTCGTCGCCACTTATGTTCACTCCTGGAGGGTACTACACTACCCAATTCTGGTCCTTGTGGATCTGTTCACATGGCACCCCTTTGCCTGCAGCAGGGTCCGCTGCACTAGTGGTGGCTTTGACGGTCGTAGCCCATCAGGCCACGTGAGTGCATAAGCGGCTAGTTGCGCGGCCAGAAGCAGTCAAGCCTCGCACTGTGCGAGGTATGGAGCTCGGAGGCGGCGCGAGACCAGGCAGGGAATGCTGTTAGGAGAGAATTGGCTAGTGGTCAACCTTCCAGTGTCCAATGCGCCTGTAGGTTTCTGATCTCAGTTGCCTGGGAGATTAAATGATAGGCAGAACCTTGGCTCCCGATGTAGCGGTGAGAAGGCTTATTCTGGGCGGTTCTGTAGCGACGTTTCGCATGGGTTTGGGGTTTTGCAACAAATTCCGCGAAGCGACCATGGCGACTGCAGCTGAACTTGGAGTCTTGCAACACGTTCACCGAAGCGCACCATGGCGACTGACCAGCTAAACATGCATTGCATGGGCTCTTCACTGCCCGTGTTTTCAGTACACATTCATGCCCATTTTTTTCTGAACTGAGGCAAGGAATCCTTCAAATTTCTGGGCACAGCGCCTTCACATGCTTTCAGTATCACAGAAGTCTAAAGTCTAAAGGCACTCCAATGACAGGCACGGGAGGAGGCCCAGCAGATTCTCAGGCAGTCGCGATCTCAAGGGGTCGAGCGCCTGTTGCATGCATGGCCGACTCCCACTACAGCTCAGCATGTCCAAGAGTGTTCTGGAGCCCAGTGTATGCATTAGATAATGTTCCCCTGCACCACTCAAGATTGTCGCAGTAGTAGCAGTGGCAGCCGCAGTCGCTGCAGCTACAAAGTCGCACCAAAAACAGAAGGGCACATAAGAAGCTTGTCATTTTTATGACCCATCGACTTATTTCTGCTCCAGGGGATGTGCAGCAGTCTCTCAGGGTCGTAGGTCCCTACGAGGGGCCCAAGAATTGCATTGACCCGCCATATCTAGTGATCACATGTGAGCAATAATCGTTAGTCACAAGTCCCATGCAGACTCGAATCGTGCACTTCGATCATCTTCGATCTATAAAGAGTGCCATTCGGTGGCGCACACGTGAAAGAGGGATACGATTCCTTGGAAGCTCCACTGTTGTTTCCCCGGCCGGATCGGCTCGAGCAGTTTCCCATCAATCGCCCCAGAAAGGGAGTTCGAGACTTGGAATGCAGTCAGCCCATGGGGACCGCGGTGCCCAACGCCATGTCAAATGTAGTGCTGTCTGTGGGCTTAGGGCACACATGATGTCACACACGTACAGACTCGGTAGTTGAAGTCTGACTCTTTCTAGTGCGTTCTACGAGAAGCGAACGTCAAACCCGGGATGGCTCCTGACAGAACCTGCCTGGCCAGAGTATCTGTGTTCAGAGTAGGCTGAGGCTGAGGCTGGTTCTTCAACAAAAAGGTCCCAATATTGTGTCGTCTTTCGGAGCGAGGGGAACTGTAATCCTGGCGTAGGCTTCTGGTTTCTTCTGCCAAGCTCCTGCGCTGCAGGTACGGAAACTGTCTAAGTCCAGGAAGCCTCCTCACCCAAATTTCGGGTGATTCCATGTTCCTCGGCAGCTTCGCACAAGATTTCCCGGTGGTTACAGGCTCGTTGAGGCAAGGCCCGTGTTACGTCGCATGTTGATTGTTGAGATATAAATCCAATCTGATGGCTGACATGACTGCGAACCGAGCCTGTTGGGGACCATGGAATGTCGTGTTTGTAGCGCGAGGGCCATTGACCACAGTTTGCATGTCGGATTGTTGTACCTCGGTTTCCCAACTCCAGCGCATGAATTAACTTGTTCGGCAGATAGCCATCAAGAGCCAACTCTCGCAGCGCAGACCTTCTACTTGTGGTATTGTTGGAGGGGGTAAGCGCAAAAGCCCTGCCATCTTCGGGGCATGATTCCAGATGGAGGTCTTGTGGACCAGTCCGTTGTTCTGCTTTCGACAGTGAGAGCTCAAGTTTCAAAGCCAACGACCAACTAACTCCGCACCCTCGCTCCCTCTCTGTGGGTCCCTCTCTCGTTCCCTCTCCCTCCCAGCTCAGGTTGTTGTGGCGGGGCTACGTGCTTCTGCTAGCACTGCCTTTCACGTGGGCGGCTATCACAGAGCGCAGGAGACAGCAGGCAGGTCTCCTCAAGCATGGATTTTCGACAAGAGTTCAAAGAGCTTGGAAATGGCCGTGCAGGATGATGTTGATCAGGCTGACGCTGAGGCCAGGCAAGCATTACTCGGTGGGAATTCGAGTTCAAGGCTGACTGGTCCACATCCGGGCATGACCTGATTCATGTTGAAAGCATGGAGTGGATTGGTCTCTGGGAATGCTCACGTCGCTCCCTTGGTCGTACGCTCGATGCTCGCACTGTTCTTCGTCTGGCTTCTACAGCACAGCAATCGTAGGCTCATGCTGGGATCCTCAGACCGACGCTTACACGTCTTCCTCCGGGCCAGGACGAGGGCAGTCAAGACGGCAACGAGGCAGAGACTGCAGCAGAATTCCTCTCTGGCGGACCTGACGTCCGCGTCCTCTTCAGCATTCAGACGGCAGCGCATCTCGTCTCCGGCTTCAGGCCCTAAACACGAACCACAGGTAGCGCGGTGATGCCGATTCCCTTATGCTGCATGCCCTCCCAGACTCACTTACTCGTCGTCAAACATGATTTGTAGCCCTGGTGAAGCTGTGGCTAATTGCTCGTCGCGTTGTCATCCTTCAGATCTGATAGGCTCGTATGCGAGAGAGCCCTTTGTGCCCTTTGATCGACATTATGTTCTTAATTGGGCCCCCCACACGGTCTCGGAGCAGGAAAAGTTCCACAGACAGGCGACTGCAATCGTTCATTTCGTCTCCAAGTCTGCGCTCGAATTGTCGTATGTCTTCTGATGCGACATGAGTCTTATCTGTAGGCTGTGGTGCCACAACAGTCTTGTGTTCCCACAGCCTTGCACCGGCTGCATGTCGCTGTTATTGTTCGAGCTGGCAGATTGCGAGGCGCTGTGCATCGCTGTGCTTATATGCCGATAAGCCAAGTGACACGAAGTGACCAGACAAGCTACGGATTTGCCCAGGCACAACGTCGCTGCGATCCGCGCTGCTGCGGAGACATGGGCCTCCGCTGTGCCTCCGGGGCAGCTACAGGCTTCTCCAGCCGTTCCTGTTCACTTACAACTTCTTGGGCCCTCCTTGGCTTAAATTCGGCTCAAAGGTCCATTTGCTTTTGCTTCTGCAGGCACGTAAGGACCCGAGCATCCTAGATCGACGTAGGTGTACAGGTGGTCAAGCACGGGATGTTACTTGCCAGAGGATCTCACAGGGAGGTCCTGGATCCTTCAGCAAAGCGGCAGATTTGCGCCGGGATCATAGAGCATGCCTGTGTTTTAATTGAGCACCAGAATCACCAGATCGCTGGGCCGGGTTTGTTGTCTTCTTGACGCATGCAGGTGATCGGCATGAGCCAGCCGAAGCATTGGGAGATGCAGGGCACGTGCCGCGTCGCGCAGTGGACATGGCTGAGACCTAAAGCTGAAAGTCTGCAGAAGCGAGCCCGATCCCGCCAGTTTTCAGCTCCAAGCTTGAATTAAAGTAAAGCACTGCGCGATATTTCGCTATAATTCCAGGCTCTGGGACAAGTCCGACTGTCCCGATACACATTCAGGGGGGGCGTGCAAGGACCGCATCTCAGCCGCCTTCCTCGAATTCAGGGTTTTCGAGCAATTTCTTGATGTAGGCTGAATGTGGATGTGATGCATGGCATTGTGGCATTTAAAGCTTTGCAGGCTTTACGGTGGCAAGCAAAGGCAGGTGTAGGTATGGCAATCCCGTGGCTTGCATCAGACTTGCGAGCCTTTCATCCCTTGCAAGGCTACGGTCGCAGGTAGTCGGAGTGCGCCAGTCGGATTGATCTCCTGCACGCGAGCACCCAAGCGCAGGATTTCACAGCATTGTCGAATGCATGGCAAAATGGTTTCGATTGGGCGGCTTGTCTTGTTAGAAGATTCTTCATCGACATGCCCATGTTGAATCGATAATTACGCAGGGTGCATTTACATGTGTCGTGTACATATATGAGGTGTGCTCCCAAGGCACGCGTACACTTCTTCCATATACTCGAGACACGCACTTCACCAGGTAAGCATGCCCCAGTTCCACCCCGTTGAAGTTTCGTTATCAGCTGGTCTGGAAGTACCAGAGTAGGCGATAATGCTAAATCTCATTCTTCGAGCAAGCGTGGAGTTGTTACAAGCATTTGGCAATCAATGCATACATTTCCGTCCTCCTGCATGGGATTTCTCTCTATATTGTTGCTTCTCTCGCTCTGACTCTCCCCCTGTCTCGTGCGATCGGTTTGCTTCTGTATATGCTATTTGTTAATTTATGCGCCTGAGAATTTGAATCTATACAGTATTTGTCCACATATTGCGTGCGCACAGGACCACATACCCACACCCTCACCTTTATATATATATATATGTTTAACCTGGGAAGGCGAACGCCTGGAAATAAATGGTCTGTTCTCCAAACGCTCGCGAATCGGCAAACGCCTGTATTTGACTGGGCACCCTGATGTATGAAACAAGAGGTCCCTGAAGCACTCTGGGGGTTCAGGGAGGACTTTGCGGCTTCAGGGAGGTATCTCTGAATCCACCGGTTGCTGTCTCGCAAAGGCTCAATGGAGCATGGTTTGAAGGCCTTGGGATGGTGGTTTAATTCAGATCTTAGAGGTTGGAATTGATTAAACCCATGGGTAGTCTAACATATGCAAGGAGGCTTTAGATGCGGGCACTTGAAGTTCGCTTTTGGGCTTCTGTTCTTTGGAATATACCGATCATTATAAGAAGGATCGAGCACTGTATCCCAGAAATCCCATGTTCATGCTATAATATTCCCGAAAGACTCTAGACCCTAGCTGATGAAGCCATATGTTGACCCGACCAAGCGTTGTGCTCATGTGCTCTCCTGTGCTTCTACTTCGAAGACTTCACGAAGGGCCCAGCTGGCATGTGTTCTGCGGGCCAATTTTTTTCTGTTGGCCAATGATCACAACAGGTCGACCCGAGGGCAGCTGATGGACGCCGTGATGCGGAGCCTGGCGCAAGGTGCTACCCCCCCGCTCTTTGCCAGCTTCTATGGGGCTTGCATAGCTGCGTGCAATACATGGTATATACATTCCAGCATGCATTCACAAAGCTGTCATCGCAGTTGGGGTTCAAGGCCACGTACGGTGCGTGTGTCATGGCATTACTTGATTTCACACCGTGCTGCGCGGCATGGGAAAAGCACGGAGTCCTCCGAAAACGGGCGAGGAACCGAATGACATTGGTTCAGGATACAAAGGAAAGGAGTTATGTGGCTCCAACCCTGGCCAATCTCAAATATAATGCGCCGATCCTGAAACCTTTGACCGAGGAAATGGCCCAGGTTGGGCTAATCGCGTAGCCGATTCATCTGGTCGCGGGTCCATGGACGCAAGTTGACCAGCCAATCCTGTAGCCTTCGCCGTACCCGGATTGCCATGTGCTTCTGCGGGCTTCACTGACAAAATCTCCTGAATGGATGGACACAAATAACAAACCCGAGCAAGAATCTAGCAAGTAAGCGGCACAAGACTGCATCAGGCGACCATCTTGAGACTTATATAAGGCAAGT